TTACACATCACTTTCTGTAGTATAAACTTGATTTATTAGTGACTCAACTGCCATCCATTTCACAGGCATCAGACCCTGTCAATAAAACGCAGAACCTTGAATTCAGGAATCGTTTGGGGGCATTGTCTGTTGCGAAATAGAATTGACAGCTGTGAATCACAGCGCAGTTAAGGTACGGCTTACGATGTGCGCTTGGCTATCAAACAGGCAATCTTAAATTAATCGTAGCCGGCAGGAAATTTATTTTCGATTTGGCATAAAGGACAGCGGTCTTTGTTATATATACGTACTTACATTGGATCTTCTAACGTAGATTTCCTCTCGGCCCAGGTCCCTTGCCATGCCAAAGTCGGTAATCTTACAGCGCAGCCCTTCACCGACTAAGATGTTTCGAGCTGCCAGATCTCTGTGGATAAGCTACGACCAGAAATAATAATGTACTTAATCATTACATAAAAAAAGTTTGCTTACAAATTTCTTATGACGCAAGCATTGTGCTTTTCCTTATGTTTGCGTCATCTAAGCTTAAAATTGCGGGCAAAAGGTCGGAATCACGAGCCATAACAAACTGTGTAACGAAACATATTTTCATTCTCTTATGCCTGGGCTTTTGTTTGTATCGTTTCGTTGTGCGTTTAAACGGAGGTNCGCAAGCATTGTGCTTTTCCTTATGTTTGCGTCATCTAAGCTTAAAATTGCGGGCAAAAGGTCGGAATCACGAGCCATAACAAACTGTGTAACGAAACATATTTTCATTCTCTTATGCCTGGGCTTTTGTTTGTATCGTTTCGTTGTGCGTTTAAACGGAGGTGTCGAAAATCACGAAAAGCACTCGCCACGAAAATCCTTCTAAGCTGCAAAGATGGATTGATTGTTTTTCTTAAACGCCAGCTCAAGTAGAGCTCAAACTGTACTATATAGTTCCTTCTTCGCTGAACTGTATACTTGCCAGCGTTTTTACTGGGCGCACGAGTACCTAATTTTTTTGGGTATCCGCATCGATGAATATTTTGTGGGGGAATCTAACCAATCCGACTCCCCTGTTTTCAGATTTAAGTTGGCGACAACAAGAGCACTGAGCCTACGCCTCCCAAGGCATGCGCTGTAACTAACTTCTCTAGCTTCGTCAAGACAAATTTAATGCTTTTGCTTAACGTTCCCGTAATCTTTCTTGTCTCTACACAAGCAATCCATATCTATATCTCTGGAAACAGCGAAAAGGCAAAGCATTCATGGAGATCAGCAAACCTGGTGCGCCGAGATAAATTCCATTCCACGGGCGACATCAGCTGAGAATTGGTAAAGTTGTCGTTCTGGTATCTTTGATGGCACCTCCTTGCTTCTTAAATCATAGAAATCATCATTTTCTCCATTACTTTTTCTTAAATATCCAAGAAGATCGCCATGAGGAACAAATTCCAGGATAACAAGAGGTGGTCCTTAAAAAAAAAAATGGGAAGAAACTTATGCCTAGTCCACGCGTATCCGGATATTTTTTAAATCCGCAACTCACCATACGAATCCGCAACTTTTTGAATCCGCTCTCCAAAGTGGAAATTTTTTAATACGCTATGAATCCGGAATCGTGTGGACACTAAATCAGGATATTTTTTATCCAGTGACGTAACAAAATCGAGCCCAGCTCTTTACCGTGAATACGGTAGAACCTCTATCCAGCGGACACCCTCAGGACCAAGGCAAGTGTTCCCTGAATAGAGGTTGGGCTGGGGTTTGTTAATAATTAACAGACAAATAAAATATATTTCTTTTATTCTGCCTTGGAATCTGCTGAAGTCATTAATATTTCAAGTAGCTGCATAATAATAAAAAAAATCACGATTAACTTATCTCTGCATTGTTGTGTGTTGAATTCCCACAAGTGCAGTACACCGATTTCAAGTGAGATAGTTCATTTACCTTGAAATCTGTAGCCGTTGTGACCAGTGAATACTTAAATTTATCAGCGATTTTTAAGGTCAATCACTCTAGTTTGAACGCTAAGGTGTCCCCTGAATAAAGGTTAAACCCGAGTTTCGGAACCCAAAAAAAGTGTCCCTTTTTTCTGAAAAGAGGTGACCCTTCAATTAATAGAGGTAACAAATGCAAAGATCATGTGAACGTTTTTCCGGGACCAGAGTTTGTGTCGCTTAATGAAGGTGTCTCAAAGGAGAATTTCCACTGTGTTCAAGATGGTGCGGAGCGCAATGTTGTCGCCTCTGGCTTCTTGGACTTCGGTTTAAAGTCTTATAACGTGTGTGCAGTTAAACCTAGCTATGATTACGATGCCAAACGGCTGCTCGACATTCTGAGGCTTCTTTCCACGTCGGACGAAAGTTAAACTAGCAAAGTAGAGCTTGAGGGACAACTTTGTCAGCGATACAGTTATTGAAGAAGAATGAAGAGAAAACTTCCCATGAGCCAAACATAGCGCTAGCTTTACAAATTAGCTGGGTGACGTCGACTGAAAGTGAATCCGGATACGTGTGGCCGGGCAAACTCGATTTAAATACGCTACGTATGAACGTGGAAATTTTTGAATCCGCAAGGCTAGGATGATTTGCGGATTCAAAAATATCCAGATACCTGTGGAAGGGGCCTTAATCAAGCGCAAAACTGCAATTATTATCTCTGAGATAACCGCAAGCTTATAAATGTAAATAGCAAATTGCTATCTACATGTATGTTCAGAATTCTTATCAATTAGGCTAGCATTTATTATCATATTTCAATTTCTTTGTAAGATGTACAGTCGACTCACTCCCGATAACTCGAACCTTCATTTGAAATTGGAAAAAGTTCAAGTTATCGGGAGCTCAAGGAAAATAGGCGCTTTTTTTAAAAAAAATATCTCTTTAACTTAACAATGCTATCGAAAGCATTCTAGGCTAAAAATTCTTTGCCAATAGTTTTAAAAAAGTACATTTGAGCGTGCAATAATGTTTGAAACCCAAGAAAGTAAAAAAATTCTCTTCACTCAGAAGTCCTGTTCTGGTCATGAAATCTAGTTGCTGCAAAGCGACTGTAGGGAGCGAACAGCAACGTAATCAGGATTTAAGAGAAATATATGGGACGAATTCTCGAATTCATCGATTTTTACCACAATGCATTGCATTTAGCCAGAGTGCACCGCGCCACTTTTTACCAGAATGCATTGCGCCACGAAAAACTTTAATAAAAACACGAGGAAGTTCGAGTTCGCTGTTCAGGCTCAGAGTTTTCTTTGTGTCAAAGCACGGTTAGAGATCTTACCAAATTTAAGACACGCAGGAGTCTTTCAGATGAGTACGATGGTTAACTTGGGATTGGATTTCAAGAGCCTTTGACTCGTCCAGGCGTTAAACTTGACGAGATGATGAGCATTTGCTCTTCTAACTTACTGACAGCACGGGGGATACTTGCTAGAAGATGACGTGAAAGTGAGACAATGTCATGCCATGCTATTCTTAGGTACCTGTATGAGCCGAAAATGGATGTGATTTTGACCATTAGCTTCAAAATAACAGCGGAAATCGAGATAACCAAACATATGTTTTGCGTCCTACTTTGCAGACGAGGACTCGTTTCGGCGTTTTGTAAAGCCTAATTGTGTTCTTTCATTCATTCATTGCCATGGAATGCGTTTACATCGTTTTTTTTGTTTTGTTTTTTTTTACTACTGCTAATAGCTCGGTTAATGCGGATCGAGTCTTACTCGGTTCCTTTTCTTTTTTCCTTCTTTCTTTCTTTTTTTTTTTGTTTTTGTTTTCTTTCCATATTTATTCCTAAGTAACTTTTATTTAATAAAGTGCATAAAAAGCAAAAAAAGTATCGTGTTTCAAGAGAAAAGCTATTACACCGTATATTAAAATTAATAGTTGGAAAAAAAATCGGAATTTCTTTCATTTTTTTCAATTNGTTAACTTGGGATTGGATTTCAAGAGCCTTTGACTCGTCCAGGCGTTAAACTTGACGAGATGATGAGCATTTGCTCTTCTAACTTACTGACAGCACGGGGGATACTTGCTAGAAGATGACGTGAAAGTGAGACAATGTCATGCCATGCTATTCTTAGGTACCTGTATGAGCCGAAAATGGATGTGATTTTGACCATTAGCTTCAAAATAACAGCGGAAATCGAGATAACCAAACATATGTTTTGCGTCCTACTTTGCAGACGAGGACTCGTTTCGGCGTTTTGTAAAGCCTAATTGTGTTCTTTCATTCATTCATTGCCATGGAATGCGTTTACATCGTTTTTTTTGTTTTGTTTTTTTTTACTTCTGCTAATAGCTCGGTTAATGCGGATCGAGTCTTACTCGGTTCCTTTTCTTTTTTCCTTCTTTCTTTCTTTTTTTTTTTGTTGTTGTTTTCTATACATATATATGCCTAAGTAACTGTTATTTAATAAAGTGCATAAACAGCAAGAAAAGTATCGTGTTTCAAGAGAAAAGCTAGTACACCGTATATTAAAATTAATATGTGGATAAACAATCCGAATTTCTATCATTTTCTACAATTTACTGTGGGAAAACCAGAGTTGAAAACCATTTGATCATTTTCTAGACAACCTTCCCACCAGTTCTTTCTCGTATATACTGATAGTAATTATTACATTCCAACATGTAAATCATAGGACATTCAATGTCATTTTCTTTTAAGTCTCACGCAAGCAGATGGATGACTGCCTAATTAATGTCAGTATTAACAGAATGCAGTTCTGCGGCATTAATATCTTTTAGATACCCTAGTATGATATTTACTTTGGCTTTACCTTTGCTAAACGATTTAAATCTTGCAGCGGAAGAGGTTACACGAATATTGCTCACGAATATTAACAGTGTTGAACTTAGAGGAAAAAATGATTATACCTTTTACAACAGAATACTACTTTTCAGTATTAACTCTATCTTTTTTTAAGCATGAACTTACTGAACTCCATCTTTCCCCGGCATCGCACCACATCTTTGGTCACACATCCCAGCAATCGTATGACGTTAGGATGAGGTTTAAGCTTCTTCAACAAGTCCAATTCAGACAAAAGGTCCTTGAGATCGGACTTGGAAGATTTTTCTACAATTCAAATATAATTTTCATTTGTGTGAAATGGTTTGCGGGCTTGTTTGGCCCATGAACTCTTACTGTTGCTACTTTGAAGGGCGTGCCTTGTAAGGGTATTAAAATCAGAAAAATTTGAAAACAAAGTTGACATTCCGCGACGATACCACCGCCATTTTCCCCTTTTGATGAAATGACATCCGAGGAAAGAGCGCAGAATTCCATACTGATGACACGTGCCTCTGATTGGATGAAGAAAATTTTGAACCAATCAGAAGCACTATCCTGATGTCGAGTCATCAGAATGGAAATTCTTCGCTCCTTCCTCAGACTCTTTCGGCTGTTTTTTAAGAAATTGAGGGTAGCATTTACAAGGATTGAAGTGAAAAATTCATTCTATTATTCTAATGGTAGAGAAATTTAGCGTCTTAGCTTAGGATATTGACGTTTCCAGTTTGATGTATCCAATTTAAGTTGGACTAACCCTGGTATCTGTTTTGTTTTTTTTGTATTTTGTTGTTGTTGTTGGAATCACATCTATAACCAGCGGGTACTAACCGGTGCTCTAAAACGTGTAGATTAGCCAGTGACAGGGGTCTCACCTCACCTTTAAGCATTTTAACGGCCACCACGGACCAGCTTTTGGCACCATTTACTTCCCACGCCGCACCCTTCCACACTTGGCCAAACGACCCACCACCAATTCTTTCAAATAATGTCAAATGATTGCATGAAACCTCCCAGTTGGTGTTAAAAAGCACTGGCGTGTATGGGGATTCAACTTTGCTATGCGGCTTCAATGTAGAGCCAGTTTTCCCCGCTGTGTTCTGGTAGAAAGACTTTAGACATTGATCATTCTGATAGCCGGTGGCTCCGTGAAAAGCTATCGTCCGAGGGCTTGTACAATTTGATCCCTCAGCCATTCTAGTTCGTGTATCTGTACATCGCGTATTTAACGGTGGCAGAGTTAATGATGAATCCTTATGTTGGAAGCTTTCAGTGACACTTTTACCGATAATCTTCAACCTTGGTTCTAGCCGAGGCCTAGATTGGAAGGTATGGGCTTTTCTATCGTAAGTGCAGCGACTGGTTTGAGCCCTCAGTTGCAAATTTTCACTGTCCACTGGTTGAAGGTAATTCTCAGAATTTGAATTTTGATGGCATACACCAGTTTCAAATTGATTTCTCCGAAAGGTTTCTGACTCCTTGACTGCTCTCGTTTCCTGATTGATCTCTTGAATGCTTCCGTCCATTACTGTACCTGTTCTCTTACTAGTTTCCATGACAACTTGGTTGTCCCTTTCAGGATTAGCAGGGTTGATATACCCAGTAATAAGAGCCTGACTATCCCTTATTCCTTTGATAACACGGCGATTTTCAGTTGCTTTCACAGCACTGGACACCTGATTTGAAGTAACTGCTCGAGTGAGATCGTTTGATTCTGGATGGAACGATGTCAGTGCAAAAACTCTGCCAGCGCTTCTTTGTTCACAATTCTCTCCGACTTGACTTTCTGTCACTGTTGCTGACAATTGTTCTGAAGCCCTGTTCGATTCTAAGGTACCTACTGGCAATTCTAATGACGTCACCGAGTGTCTTTCATTCATATCATTTCCTTGAACCTGCAACAAATAAGGAAAAACCCCGTTAAATAAATACGGACACTGAGGGAGCAATGGAAAGTGTCCGCATTAAGCGTGTTGAAGTTACAGAAAATATAAGGACTTTCTTTCCCAAGGGCAAAGCAAACTGTCCGTAATAATGAGGTGTCCGTAAAGCAGGTTTTGACTGTCGTTTATCCCTATTAAATTCCTATATTCATAAAAATATTTATGAAAGCAAACCGACGAGACTGGGGAATAAAGTTGGGCCCTAATAAACTGAAACATGATCATCTTATCATTTTTTCCGATCTAAAAGTAGTAAATTAAAAAAAGAGGACGAAAACCATTCAGTGTTGGCAGTGGTAGAGGGTGGAAACTGAAACGACCCCGAATTTTTTTAAGGGCAGGACTGGTTAACCCTCTCGCGAAAAACCTTCTGAATACATTAATACTGAAACGCTGCTAAGCAATCTCTACAAAATTAACGGCTTTTTTAAAATACTTTTATCTAAAAGAAGAAAAGTGCCGAGAGAAATGAAAAAAGGGATCTCACCAAATCAGAGGATCTATTCTCTTGGGATGTAAGGGACAATCTTGTTATTCTGAAAAAAAAATAAAGGTATTTTTTCTTGCGGCATAAAACAGATAGTATAGATTACAATTTTTCACTTTCGAGTATTCGTTTCGAAGTCATCTATTTACGATTGACAGGGCCCTCAGCTTGGCTGAAAATGACCAAATAGCCGGAATAGAGTTTTGCATTCAAAGTGGCGCTATAAAGTTTGTATCTGTTCGGTTCAGTCCTAGGGCAACGTGAGTCTTTTCGAAATTACAATGGCTTCAGTATTATTTTCCCAGAACTTTAGATTCAACTCCAAGTTTCACAAAGGTTAAAATATTACTGATTCCTTTAATAATCCATCAAATTTCCAATCCTAAAGTATTAGGTTTCCTTTTTCTTCGAAATATAGCTACACCTAGGCAGTGAAATGTGAAAAACTGGACTTCAGAAATCGTAGCCTTCCACCATGTCACTTACGGAAAATTTCAAGCAATCTGATTTAATTTGCTTCTTCGAACAGATATTTTACAGAAAGTAGAGTTTGGGTTCCCCAGTTACAAATTTGCCAATTAGAAGCAACTAGTCACTGTTCTACGTTTTTTTTTCAAGTTAGCATTTCAAGATTTCTTAGTGCACCTATGGGAATAAAGACGTTGGATTAACACGACTGAAATGGCGATAGCAAAATTACGTTTTTAGATCGCGGTGCTTTGAAAAAGCCCGTGCGCTGCATGGTAATGCGCTCGCTCACAGCTGATAACACAGTAGATAAATAACGCTTTTTCAAAATCTCCCAGTAGACACACACATATTGAAGTCTGTAGACTGTCACTTACTCCTTTTCTAAGCAAAAAAATAATGTCCAATGTTTCCGTCCAAGTAAAATCTATTTTTTAAATGAATTGAATCCACAACCCCACGATGAAAGACGAATGACGGATAAACGTTTTCTTCAAAATATAAAATACATACGCTCTGATTTCTTGATGACCTATTAAATTGGAAAAGAAAGAATCAATGTTAGAATCTATGCTCAAAATGTCCTTGTTTGTGTACGTGGAGATATTTACGTACCACATATACATAATTACATTTCATCAAGCCTGTTCGCTAGTAGCAATGTACTGAGCAACAAATTGAGCAATGAAATGTTAGCTGATTCGCCCCATGGAAGGACTGTAAGGTATCTTTCGCCCCATGTTAGGTATTCATAGCCAGTATATAGACAGTCTAGGATTGTGGCTCCACGCTGTGAATTCCCGATTTCTTGTCAGTGGAACCTGGACTCGGGATTCTTATATCAGGACAGAGATTACTATGGACATCATGCAATAAATGAGTTATTTTTTGAAAGAACACAGATGACATGAACTGTAAAAAATTTAGTTGACTTACGTTCTTCTTTTTCCTTTCTACAAACAGATTTTCTGCGTAAACAGTAGATTCCTCCTAGAAGCAAGGAAGATAAGGCAATGGCAATCATAATGCTTACGAGGGTGACATTGTAATTCATCTCATCTTTCATGTTAGCCCTGTACGTTGGTGACATCCCTGTTGCAGCCTCTGTTAGAGAAAAAACAGATGATATCAAAACGACTTCTCCCCGCAAGGAAAAGTAAACCAAACTACCGTAAATCCTCTATTAAGCCCCCTCCCTCCAATAAGCCCCCCCTTCTCAGAGGAGGAAAGTTAATAAGCCCCCCTCTCTATTAATCCCCCATCCCCCTTCCCCAGTCCTTATTCTTCACAAAAAAATTAACGATTAATGTGGACTGATCAGTTATGGTTTATTAATAAAAATTACCGAAGAACACGAGGCCGAAAAAACATTTTTGACGAATAAGAATTTTGTTTTTGTTACTTTTAGGTTCCCACAAGTGAATTAAATACTTTTGACAGTGACTTTAATTGTACAACGCGTAAGTCTACTCTGTCTTATACCACGGTATTTTTGCTACAGGTGATGCGTTTCGCTAAATTAAATAAGCCCCTTCTCTCTTTTAAGCCCCCCCCTCTCTATTAAGCTCCCCCTCAAAAGTGCTTGAAAAATTTAAGCCTCCCCCCAGGGGGCTTAACAGAGGATTTACGGTATACTGGTGATGTAGTTATTAAAAGCAGTATTGGTCACAGCTCGTTGCTGGATTTAAACCTTGAGGTGAAGGCCGGTAACGCAACTAAACGGAGGTTGGCCGTATAGCATACTGTTCAAGAGAAACGCCAGTTTATTCTAAAAGAAACACTTTTATAGAAGCTTGTATAGTAATGGTTTTCACCCAAGAAGAGACAGCTCTCACATGTAAATTAGTACTGAACAAAACTACAATATTGTTACGAACGAGTTCTCCCCAAAAGGTTTTAATGAGGTTTCCCAACTACACGAACAATACCATAAACGTTGGCGCAAACTTAATAACCCAAAAAGGTGGTAAGTTCTCTGTAATTGAAACGTTAAATAACGGGTCTTTGATCAGTGGTCACCTTCTATGTCAGAGTGTATACGTATTTCCCTTTATTGTTTAGCTGGGCAAAGTAACACTTGGTAGCCGCTAACACGAGATGACGACAATTTGGTTCAATTTACAATGATATGATACAATTGTATTTTTAGTGGTCCTCTTAACATTCAACTTTATTTAGGCCACAGCCATTTCAAACGGCATACACTTCAATATTTCCGCAGCAACTTGTAATGTTGTTTGGCAATCCTAGAATCCTATGCACTTTTAAAATAGGTCTCCGATTACTGGTAAATTATTCATGTCATAGAGCAGGCAAATTTTTCCGAATATATTTTTTTATTTCTTGTAACTGATGAACTTATCGTACTTGTGTGAAGTGACTTCGCTGTTGTCTTGGTTCTCCGATTGGTTACATCCGCAAAATTTGTAGATATTATCAATGTTTTGCTACTTTGTAATTCGCTTTCGCCCCATTCGTTCCAAGCTGTTACTGCGAACATATAACGTTTATAGGCAGCAAGTTCTATGTGGTACATAAAACCAGAAACATTTTTTCGTAACCAGGATTCCTTGTGAGTCATATCCTTGTCTGCCACCTTTGTCATGTGCAACACTCGGTGCCAAGCTGTATAGGTCGTCACCAAGCGTCCCTCACTGTAAACCGCTGACCACCGAAGAGTCCAACTAGAATTCACGACTTTTGTGTTTGTGTTAAGAATCGTCGGGCTTGCAGGGAGAACTTAAGATAGAGAGAAGAAAATGTTATGATGTAGAAATACCTATTTAAGGGACCACTCTTGCAATACATCAGAACAAAACCATAGGTGTATTTGCAACCATGAAAACATACGTAATTCACTGGCTTTGTGGAGAGGTATTTTTTCTTCAGATTAAGAATGAAAATATGAAGGCTTAGTTTTTCAAGTTGTGTAATTGTTTTCCGAGCAACTTGTTGTTAATTCTACTAGAAATTAGTACTGACTCATAATTTTACCATCGTAAGAATTCCCATCCCTTAAGATCTTAACTGCATGATAGCATGATTTTGAAATCCCAGCTGACAAGCCATATTCTCCATGTTTAGCATTCACATTAAGCATTTCGCGATCAGTGCTTCAAAATTCCATTGAAATATTGTTAATCGTGATCTTAAAACGGTTTTCCTTTGTCGCACCACGGAATTCTGCTGAAAAGCTTATTGATTTTATCAATTACAGAAAGGAAATCGAGTCTCTTGTTTTCCATTCAGTATTGCTTAGGTTATCCAAAACTATATTATGAAAAAGGCCGCTTATATGCCGATTGCTATTCATTATGACACGATTTTTTAGTCTCACAGCTTTACTAGGCTAACTACTAACTTCTGAGAAAAACATTTCTTCTGTCTTCTCCGGCTTCGTTTTGGGTGACACAAGTGTACTCGCCCCAGTCTTCTTGAGTGATATTAAGTAGCCTGATCACCACAGTGGAAGTACCGTTACCATGGTTGCTGACGACATTTCGTCCTCTGTGCCACGTGACACTGAGAAGAGATAACCCGCTGACTACACAACTAAGGTTTACATTTTGTCCCGTTCTAAGGATCGGTGGTGTGGTGATGTCGGTGATTCGTGGCAAATCTGCAATGGCTAGAAACAAATTCATGGCAAGAGAATGGATCAACTTTCAACTTTTTACTACTAGAATCATACTCTTGGTTAAACCGCTGATTCTCGCTGTCAACTGGAGGCACTTTCCATTCAGCTCAAAATTCCGCAAATTTCATTAGAAATGGTAAATAAGACGGACCCGTTTTGGTTCAGTCCCACCGGAGTATCTGGGACCACCTTTGAAAATAGTCAAATTTGACCTTTCCGGTCATTAATATTTCAGGTGGTCGGTCGGAATGAAATGTCCCTTTTCATTTGACATAATTGTTGTCCACAGAACTGCTCTTCTGTATTCTGCTTACAATATAATTACAATAACCAAACGCACGGTGGCCTGGGTCGGGCCTGTGCAACCGGAATGTATCGTTCCATTGCGCATGTCAAATTTCCGAAATTTCAAACACGAATTTTTGTTGAATGGAAAGTGACCCCTGATCTAAAGATATTTCCCTTTAAACAGAAAGCTGAAGTTATATTATACTATAATCTAATGTATCGAAGATTTTTCAAGGGCGTTCGCAGCTGTATTAAGAAATCATGGCGCCAAGATGGATGTCCCCTTTCCCGGGCGTCAGTTACATTTTTCTTGCTCAGCTTCGCTCGACATTAGCAGCACGACTTATAAAAATGTCAACGTCTACTGCTTTAGAAATGTGGCCTAATCAATGCCATTCCGAGTCCCATTAACAGCTAACAATGATAGGAAATATAGGATGGACCAAAGGTGGGATGGACTCTTATCCACGTTGAATAATTAAAGCAACAGGACACAAAACGTTAGCGACAGGCATACTTTGGATACAGACCTTCTGTGTTGTAGGCACAACTACAATCAATAAAATGCAAATAGTTGTATGCTTTATGGAACTCCTCTGAGTCAGTTCAGCTTAAAAATTATCTTATGATGCCCACGCATTTGCAATGAAACCGCACTGCGGTGGTCTACATGTTCAGTCAAAGAGAGAAAAGTTGGTGAAGGATTTTCATGAATCCCAGATCGCTTAGAAGCTAAAAAGATGAACGAGCAGGCAACCAAGTTAAAAGAATGCGATGCCTCATATAATGATGTGAGGCAATTGTGTGAGGTAAGCAGGGTGAGAAAACATGCTTAACTGGGCGTCGCCACCAAATGGGAAGGTATACGTACGAATAAATGTGGGAACTATACTGAAGACGCCAAAATAATTTTCTTATAGTTTAGTTTTAAATCGTTTCTTTACCCCAATTGCAAAATCGTCGGAACAGATCAGAAATTCGAGGAGTCCAAGTAGTTGATATATAAGGGAGTCGACATAAAAAGTATGGTATCATGAATTCATCGCTCATATTTTAATTCGTCTATATTTTATGGGGAGTTAACAATAACGAAAAAATATATATATAAATAGCCACATGCTTCTACCTACGTTTTGCCACGACTAGAAGTTGGACTATGTCTTTCAATGGATTGTCCGCGAGTCCAAACTCAACTTGTATACCAAAATCCACATTTCCGTCGGCCGGCTGAACATTATATAAAACAAAAACTGCCAGGGAAGATGTCAGATTTCCATCCCAACTCACCGCTGTCTCGTAACCTGCTCTTACACTTATGAACCCCTTTGAATCGACTGCTATAAGCTTTGGATGCAAGTAACCAGGACTTTTCCAGTAACCAAAGACGACCTCAAAGAGAGTTAGATGTGAAGGTTTATAGTACCGCCAAAGCAATGAAACGTTATCGCCAATAAAGACCTTGGTCGGCTTATCTGGAGTAGAAATCATTCTCTGTCGATCTCCTGTTGATAAAATACCATAGATTAACATGGTGCATGGTTCTGATTGGGTTAGTAGCTTGTATTGATCACAAGGTACATCCATTTTCTGGTAGCCTATCGGATGTGTGACAGCTGGCGCGCACGAACCAAGGGGCCCCAGTGACACAGGACTCTCGGTTTCAAAGGCATGAACCACCTTGAAGTATAAATACTCGGACTCGTTCAACTTGACTAGATTTCTGGTTCGTTCAAAAGAAGCAAAGTGGTTTTAAACACTGAAAAAATATGGTTTAAGCGCAAGATAAACTCCAAATAAAGCTACCGACAGATTGCAAACAAAATTAAGAAAAACTGTTTGAAAGCAGAGGTCCACGCAACGCGTAAATATAACTGACTGGTTCCTCTTGCCGGATCTCTAATCGAAGAGATACTGTAGCCAGACGTCACTTAAAGTGTAAAATAAAACAAAACTGATATGCAGGGCTGGCACTACGGCAAAGGGCTGATTTATTATAGGCCAATATTTCGGCTAACAAAATTAGCCTTCCTCAAAGCCAGAACTTTACTGAGAGAAAATACCTTTTAACGGCTCCTAATATTTGAATTTAAAATAAATATAAGTGGTTAATGATTAACTACATTTATTGCCCCCGAAGGGATTTCGCCCAGAAGGCAATCCCGAGGAGGCACTCTAGTAACTCGAGCGTATATATAGGAAAGTACTTACAGCTGAAATATACAGTCATTATGCCAGAAAAAATCTCGATTTGCTTGAACAGGGGCCGCGAGGAATCGGTAGGTAATGATGACGTTTCTGTTGTTTGCGCCCGCAAGTACGAAATGGTTAGGATGACAAAAAATCCCGAAGGGACCGCTTGCTTAGATTTTGTGACATTAACTGTGCAGTCATACTTGGATAATCTTTCGCGTTACGTGTTATCAGTGACATTCCGCGGAGCTGTTGTTTTGAAAGTTATGGACCAAAAGACACTCGTTAAGCGCTGATGAACTTATAAGGTTCGTATAACTGTGTATATATAAACACTTGGAGAGTTTGCCAGACACGAGTTCACAAATCTTTGATTGGAAACCTTGCCAGACACTCTTTCTCTCTCTTTGACCAGAATAAGACTCAGCCCCAAACAAGCAAGACGAGTGAACAACGGCTAGCTTATCACTAGCAGAACGATGGACGATTACAGAAATTCGCCGACAGTCAAATTTCTGTGCTGACTTATTCCCTGCCGTCCTTCCGCTATAAAGTTTAAAATAAGACTAGACAGCTGAATAGAATGCGAGAGCGTGAATTGATCAAACGTCCTTTTAATTTCTAAGGCTTACTTTCGCGCAGATAACATGAACTGAATGCAAAAAGTGAAAGAGAAATAGCGAAAAATTCAACTTCTAATTAAATCTTTTCTTATGGTTTAGAATAAACTATTCTCGAAACTGAGAATGTTTTTATCAAAGTTGTGTAGTCGAACTGAAACTTACGTTTCCTGTATTTATCTCACCCATTGTATGGAATATGTGTGAAAATCTTCGTTACGAACAGGTATATTTCAAAGAGCTACACAACGAGCAAGAATACTATTGACCGACAATATACAGAGCGGGGGCAGCTATAGTGTCAACTATTACTAGTTAATACAAGAGAGAATAATATACGGGTAACTGATTATACAATAAATATAGAAATAGAAACAGTTCAATGTTCATTCCTTCGTTTCAGACCGTTTGCCTCTCCTTTTTTGAAAATGCCTGAATTGACCTTTCGCGGAAGTCAGTGTTAACACATGCCCCGCACTTTTCTTAATTCGCCTTAAAGATACAAGAAGAAAAAGGAAACTCTCTAAGTGAGTGGTCAGGTGACCAGAGAACTTGACCAAGTGATTTACAATGAATAGAAACCAAAAAGGCTGCCGTGTTAGTCATAATAAGGGAGCTATGAAAGTGATCAGCACACTAAATTGTTGGTGAGATATGGATATTACTCCCAAACCTGACGTATTTTCTGACTAGACAAGTAAAAAAGAATATACTTCTACCTCATGGGAGAAGGCAAAAATATGACTAGTCTGCTAGAACAATATATTTGAGGAAATCTATAAGCTTCTAGCTGCAGATTTGAAAAAAGTGAAAGGGCAATTGCCCTAAGGCACATAAAGACCTACAACAAAGTTTCATTGTGTCAAGACCTACCTGATATCGCTGAGTGACGGCCACTTAGTTCAAGAAAAGCAATTATGGTGAAACTATGCCAGAATCCCATTGTCAAACGTTATTTAGTTTTCAATTAGCAGTTATTCGACAAATGTTTCGTCTAAAGGTGATGAGTGCCATTGACGAAACTCCTTTAGGTATGGAGTAAATAAGGCTGCATAACTTTGAATTGAAGTACAAACACGGAATGGAATCTTTGTAGAGATTGAACGTCGCGTCTTCCCACGAACGATTGATGCAGTCTAAGAGACGCGGATACGCTAATCTCGAGAAGGGAATTCCCGAAACCGTTATCTTCAGATTTCACAGAACTGGAGCTAGAAATCCACGATAAGGACAGGTTGCAACTCTTAAGAAGTTTGTTACGATTTCATACCAGTTTCCAAGAATTTTACGCCTGGCTAGTTTCTAGGAAAAAGTGAGGTCAAAAGAGATCAACCCACCCAACAACAGAAAACCAATCTCGAAATAATCGGTGCTCTTGTTAGCGTATGGACCGAATATCATATTCCACAAACGTTTTTTAAAATTTGTCTAGTTGTATGGCTTGTAGAGTAACGACTATGGCAACGTTCTAATTTATTTAACATTTTTAGTCCACCGCTTTAGTTGTTCTGGTTGTTGTTCGGTTCGTTTTAAAATTCAGTTTCGTAGTTAAGCGGTCGGTTCGATCTTTTGCTGCACTTTGCTCGGCTTAAGTAAATACATGCCCATTTAGTAAAGTTTAAATGATTTGAAAAAGATTTTTTGACGAAAACTCTTAGCTTTAAGCCGAGACCCTCGTCTAGGGCTCAAATTTCACATAACTTTAGCTTGGCTTAAAGCCGAATAAATGCGTTAAATAAAAATATTGTCGTCTCAATCCCGATAAGAAAAGTGTTATGATGATAAGAATGATGATGATGATGATGATGGTGGTGGTGGTCAGGTGTTGGTGGTTGTGATGATGATAATAACAACGCAAAAGAACTCTGACAACTGTGTTTCTACGTACGGCCTCTCTCATTACGGGGGATAAGATCGATCACGGATCAATAAAAAGAAAAACAGGAAATAGTTGATGATAATGGTCTCTTACTAAGTAAAGTGGAAAAGAGTTTGAAGATAAGAGGCAATTAACGAGGGGTTCAGTTATTGACGTAATTATTATTTTAACAAACGTTGAAATTCATGTATTAAATTTCTTCAGCTACTGATATGATAAAGACGTCCATTAAGTTTAAATCAGTGCACATGCATTAAATTAAAAAAGACAAAATGGGAGTAGCTTCCTTCATGTCAAAACGTCTTGCTCGATTGTTATTTTAATGCCTTTTTTTGTTTTCACACAGCTAAATGTATATAAATAACCAAGAGATAAAACCTCCACAATGGACGACTTAAGTCGTAATATTGGAAAGTAGTCATCGGAAATTCATGCAGTGATTTCCAAACTAAGAAAACATCCCTTGGTAAAACAGGGGTCTAATTTTTGAGTCAAGTTCTTACCTGACGTAAACATTCTCTCCATTGCAAGAAGAAAATAAAGGCCGACTAAAACATCCTTGGCAGATTTGCACCGTATTTCCATATCAGGTATGCTTTTGAAGGAGTACAGAAGATTGTTAACAAGGGGACGGGTAAGACAAGGATAACTGGCGGTATTCACTAACGGTCATATATAGCGAGAAAATGCCGTAAAAAACATTGGTATTTTGATGTTCCCTTCGATGAAAAGGGCTTTCGAACGATCGAGCACATTTCTTGTAAATGGCCAGGGTTCTTTTTTTTACTCAACCAACTACAACCCTAAGCTACACCAGCTAGGAAAATGAATTTTTAGGTTGTCATTAGATCCCATCGACCGAAGCCCCTTCGGACACCTCATGAATACACAAAGTGGTTTGAATGGGAGGTTTTCTCGGAAAAGCCACTCAAAGGCCAGTAAGAGTTTATTTTCGTTTGCGGAACATTTTCAGAACTCTTCTGTTTTCCTGACACACAAATATATCAAAAGTTCTGGTGCACATGAGAAGGACGGCTTCAATAATAGGCCATTTGCACGATGGCGTTATTTTACTACTGTAACTACTACAGTGATACCTTTTTGTTTTTCCTTTCATATTTAAATTTTGTAATCCCAGTGAGGTTTGAATAACAAACGCCCTAATTTGCACAAGAAAGCAAAACCTTGAAGGATTCTGGTCGTAGTATTAAAATGATGTCATAGTGCAAACTGGCCTATTGAACAATACTCATGAATACTATTGTCGCTACTGCTCGCAGCATATCACAAAGACTTTGCAAACTTATGAAAAGGCAGCTTTAGCCTTATAAAATTTCCATTCAGCCACAATGCTGTCACTTTGTGTCATTTTGAAATTACGCATTTCAGGTCAGCAATATTTTTAATTCAATCAGCGGCTGAGAAGGAGACTAACAATCTCCTGCTCGAGCGAAAACGACTGCCGGAAGTGTAAAACTTGGCTTGTATTTCTTATTTACATGTCAGTAAGAAGAAGATAACAAGAGCTATATCACTGTCTTTCTTGGATATTGTATGGGTATTCCCAAATTCAGCATTTTAAAAGGCATGATTTTAGAAAGGCTGTTATCGCAGTCCCACCGCGGGGCATGAAAATGGGCAGCTTCCGCAGGAAAGTGAAACAGGAATTGCTTACCGTCCATAGACTATTAAAATACTGTGGCCTGTTTACGATTTTTAGCAAATGATAAGCAAAGTCAGACCTAGTAAATTCCGTTCGGGAATCGCGATTGTCATTTACTCAAATGAAATCAGTATTTTTACCGAAAAATGTTGCGAAGGCCTGAAAGTGGAAACAAAGCCGGGTTTGAAGAAATAACTTAGGACTGTAATTTGCGTTTGGTAAATTTCGACGACGTCACGAGGAAGACTCGGCTGTACCTTTTTTTATAAACACTCCCATAAATTTTCCATTGAAACGACCCGAAATTAAAAGTCGTATTGCTCCTTCTTTCTGACTGGGTTTTTCTGTGAACTTTTTGAAAATGAAATAAAAAAACAAGGGATAACGTCTATGATATCATGAATTGCTGGAAAAGTAAAGTTAAACGCAAACCGAATAATCACAAATTTCCGGGTAAGAACGGGTTAACAACCGGCGACTCCTATTGGTCCCCTTAATCCCCCTTGGCTCGTGCGTTGATTGGTTATTGGCGTGGCGGGTAACTTAATATAATGAATTAAATAAATATGTTTTTTAGGCTTTTTCTAGGAAATGTCAGGCTCTGAGAGGCTTGTTTTGTTTTGTTCTGTTTTTTGTTTTGTTTTCGAGAACTAACTTTTCTTAGAAAACGATGCCATAAGAACTTAGAAAAGTACTGCTGCACATCAAGTGAACTTAACTGAAAGAGCAATATAATATTTTCTCTGAGGTGGGACATTTTATTAATGATGTATTTATAATCTGCGAAAGGCAAACTTATAAATTTCTAACAAGATAGCTTCCGCGTCAAAAAAAAAAAATCTTCAACGAACACATCCACGATGCTACTACTTTATATCAGTCTGAACCTTTGCATTGCAGGTAAGTTAAACAAAATTTTTAATATCAATCGGTGTTTTTTATGTCCTGTTTTGATACTGGGTGGTTTGGGGGAGAATAGTCTTTACGGCTAAACTGGTCGCGCATGACTATCGGGGATAGAGCGTCGAGTAAGCGGCAGCCCAGAATACTAATTTATGAATGTATTTCTTTAACTATAAAACAAAACGACAAAAAGTATACTTCCTTTGATGTTATGGTTACATGGTATCCTGAAATTCAGGATTCTCGTTATAGTTATAAAAAATAAAAGCGAAAACCGACTGCACTCAAAGCGAGCTGAATCAAACGAAAAAAAATTCACAAGAAGTCTTGGAATAGGATACCCTGATACCCCAGGACGACGTTAAAAGTTAACATTTACATATTTTGATTAACAAAATACACAATATACTGTAAAAAATGTTCCTGTTTTTGTTCCTGTTTCTCTACGCTGTTACTATGCTCATCTTTCAGGTGAAAAGAATTATTTTAATTACAAAATGGTTTAACTAAGTCGTTACTTTTGTTTTTTTTTTTTTGAAAACGCCAAAAATTTGGGTCGGTCAGACGACACTAAACGAGGGGAAAAAAAAGGATGGCCTGAGTAGGTTGAAGTGAATATTCTGCGGACGTGTTACACCGAATGTAATAAAATTTTTCCCGCTGGTCTCTAACTCATGAACGAGCGAAAGTAACCTGCATTAACACTTCAACCGAGTGCGGTTTGTCCAATTGCATGTAACAAACTAAGCTGATTATTGAGCCGTCGTTTAATTCTTTCACTGGCCAGTATCACACCAGCAACAGCGTCCGTGGATTGTTTCAGGACCGAGTCATCTCGTGATTGGAAAAAAGCAAAAAAACATAACATTTGCCTGGACTTTCAAACTCCTCCCCGGAAGGACTTGGATCGAGAGCGTGGAAGATGTGGCTTTCGGGTTCTGGAAAGCGCCCGGGTATCTGAAGACAAAACTCATGGTTATCGGCAAATATGGGAAAGTATTGACTCGGCAAAACTACGGGAACAAAGTAAGCTGCACATTCAACATGTCTGTTCTGCGGGTCGCATTCACGGTTCATAATCTAAGCACAGGAGATGAGAATGATTATGGTCTTCACACTGAACTTGGCTTGGCACGGAATCCGTTAAAAGATGTTGTTGCACTTCGCTTGGAGGGTAATTGTAATATTAAATATAGTTTAAAACTCAAAAGAAGTATTGTTTCAGCACGCGGTTAGAAATTTCCTTTTTTCTTTTGTGAGGAGGGCAGGGAGGAAGATGTTTTTAAGTACCACTTTTAAGTGCAGGAATTTTTTACTTGTACAGAGCAAAGTTTTCGACAAAAATCATTGATGCGAGTCTTGCCATATTTTGCAAAGCTCCATTGATATCTAGATTCTAAAAAAAGTGCTCTTCAGCAATCAATTTAGGCTTATTCAAAAATCAAACAAAAATGTAACGTCTGTGGTATACAGACTTAAAGCTTTGATAATGGTTATCGCACATTTCTTATCGGTAGATCCACCAAAAATTGCCAGGTCCTTGAAAACAAATATTTCCCTGAGGGCTGGAGACAGACTGGAATTGAACTGCAGGGCGACTGGACTTCCTACTCCGCAGGTCACGTGGATACGATCTGGAAGAGGTTTTAATAATCATACCCTTGTTGTAAACCGAGTGAACAAAAAAGACAGTGGACTGTACCTATGCAAAGCTAACAGCCCGGCTGGGGAGGATAGTATGAAGATTTTTGTTAGAGTTAAGGATGGAGACAAGCCACCAACGCAAGCAATAGGTGAGGAGAATCTATAGTGACTAGGATGGTATACTAAAGTTTTACACGGATCATCAGACATTATTATTTTTCTGCACGTTCATTTTATTTTTCTGTTATTTTTAGCGGTATGTTCCAGCTAAGCCTATTATGAAGTTAATGTCTAGACTAACTGAATCGTCGGTGAACTGCCAGTATATTCGTTAGCTTGAGTAAGACAAGTTATGCTTTTCAGTAAAATTCTGTTTTCTTTGTTGTTTGATTTTGTTTGTATCGTGTCGATAAATGAGTTGGAAAAATTGCAAGTAAAACAGGGCCCATCATAGAATTGCGATAATTACTTCAGTAAAGTTTACTGTAGACACTTGCTTCTTTTTCTGGTTTCAGTTTCAGCTTTAGGTGCAACACTTTCACAGGATAACAGTCATGCATGGATGTCAATTCTGTTATTGGCGGGCTCAACATTATTACTGGCATCGATAATATTGGCGTTGATTTTTTATTATAGGCGCAGGCGTTAAGAAAGGACTTTTCTTACTCTTTGCAGCGAGATGCAGGAACAACTGTTTGATATTGACAGATGAAGCTAACCTGTCGGTGCGCGCAGTACGTGCTAATCATAGTCAGGCGGCAAAAACGCAACGCGGCAACAACCACGACACTTGTCACTATATCAAGTTTACGTGAGTAATCGAACATAATTATTCTCTCTTAGCAGAAAATACAGTGAAAATAAAATAAAAATATTTAAAATGGAAAAAAAAACTTGAGACTGGCATTCTTTCTTAATACATTTAATGGCCCCCGTAATTCACCTTTAAGAATTAGCGTTGTTCATTATAATAGTGAGTCTCAATAATGACTGCATTCTCGTCCCCAGAACCTTCTGCTAGTTTAGCCGGCGAGGCCTGAGCACGAGGACTAGGAGGCTCTGGGGACACAGGATTTGAAGCCCTAGTTTTTAGGACTTCCGGTCATTTTGGATACAAAAGTAAGTTCGAGGATTCTCTTTCAAAAGCTTTGAATCACCTAAATTTACAGGCATTGACACTTCGGCACTGGAGCAAGTGAACGCTATAAGAAACGTTGTACGTAGAAAATCAGAAATGACTGAAGTCCTAAAATCAAGGACTTCAAATCCGGCCCGTGTCCCTAGAGCCCCTCCTCATTCTTGTGCTCAGGCCTCGCCGGCTATAGCCTGCGTGCAGACGATAACTAAACTCTGATTAGTATCGTCTGCGAAGCAGCGCAGAGATCCTTGTTCTGGACCCCCAACGGACTCAACTAATTACCGGAAGTGCGTTTCGAATTCCCCTTCAACCTGATGGGCGATCACGACAAACAAAACAAAGGCCTTTTTTAACTGGCCAATCGTGGCGCGTACTCAAATCTGGTTACACAGCTGGAAGTCCAGAACAAGGATTTCGGCGCTGTTTCGCAGACGGAGTTAACCAGAGTTTAATTTCGTCTGCGCGCAGGCTACGCCGGCTAAAGCCTGGTTTTCACAAGCGCATAAGCATAAGCATAAGCACAAGCACAAGCACAAGCACAAGCACGAGCACAAGCACAAGCACAAGCACAAGCACAAGCACAAGCACAAGCACAAGCACAAGCACATGTGTAAGCTAGTGAAAAATGGGTCGACATACGCATAAGCAAAAGAAAAACGGACAAGTTCGTTCTGGTACTTATGCTTATGTTTATGCTTATGTCGTAACTTTCACTAGTGAAAACTGGGTCAGCATAAGCACAAGCATAAGCACAAGGCCGTGGACCAATCATAGGTCACTTTGACCCAGACCTCATGCGAACATATCAAAAGCAATATGGCGGATGCTTCATCTGCCGTCTTGTTTATCATCGGGTTGAGGGGAGCTGGAATCGAGAATTGAGACAAATTTGCCTTTCTGCGCGAGCGTATGTCCTTATGCTTATGCTTATGGCTAGTGAAAACCAGGCTTAAGGGAACAGGAGGCTCTAGAAACGAGAATGTAAAGACTGATGTTGATGATGATGTTCGATCACGACGTTAATCTGCAATTTTCACCCAAAGTGACCACCAAAAAGTAAACACAAGCAATCAAACAAACGCATTTAATCATCAGTAATCAAAAGTATGATTTCTCCATGACTGATACAGTGTGCGGTACTGTTAAAACATTTTGTTTCGCTCTTGAATTTCCAGCCACACTAACTTACGGCACCAATGAAATTATTAATGGCTTAAAACATGTGAGACTTGCTCCCCAGTCAAAGTTTTCAAAAGCTAACGAAGCGTGCGGATATAACAAAAGTTTTCATTGTGTTTAATATTTAATATCCAGAAGTGCTAAATAATTCCTGCTTTATGAGGATCGAAAAAGAAAACAACTGTTTGCATAACTCCTGCCATTCAATTCGTCAGGTATTTGCGATTTTGGGGGAAAAAAATTCAAGCGACATATCAAATGATTGAAACGTGGTCTTTCACGTACAATATTGAAGCACGGGGAAGCCTTTGTGCCCAATATTTATCAATTATACCCTCATTTATCAAAATTGTCACCAATTATTTAAATCCATTTTCACCCCAAGTAAGGCAAATTTCCAGGATTCCGGAATCCAGGAAATTTGCTTGTGAAATCTGAAATCCTGTGCTTCAAACCAATATTCAGCGCTAGGGGAAGGAATCCGTTATCCTTCTAACGATTAGAATCCGGAATCCAAGTTCCACCTACAATGAATCCCGAATCCAGTACCTGGAATCCGAAATCCATAGCGTCAAATCCAGACTCGTACTCCAAGACTGTCTTGGATAAACTTTAATATGGGGCAACTACTTTTTACGTTTAGCTTTTTTCACAGACTTAAAACTACTACATAAACTTCTACTTAATCTACTCTTCCACACGATCGCAGTTTGAAAAACAAGGCAACCATTAAAAGTTTTCCAAAATATTCCTGAGAAAAGAAAAGAAATTCATTTAATACCAATGCTTGGAAGTCAAAAAGGACTTAACATGGTTTTACGTAACTTGAAAATGCAACAGCAATGTATGACCAAGAAGCACACTCAGGGTGTTAGATCGGGAGCTCGGTCAGCGGAATGTTTGTTTTTGCGAGATTATTTCATGGTCAAGACATGGACTAAACGCTCAAAATATCACGAATATCATCTGGAAGCTGTAAAACTGCAGTTACACTTTGTTGACCTAGCCTGCTAGTTCAAGTCCAGTCTGTTTTTTAGTCTGATACAGACCTTGTTGTTTTTGAAAATGAAATGCCAAACATATACACTACAACTAGTTGACATAAGAAAGATAGGTTGACAAAAGGCAACTGGAAAAAGGTTTACTTGTCAAAAATTCTTCTAAAACAAAATCCACTTCACTTTCATCTATTTCCGTACTTAGAACTAGATCTACATTACTGGTGAAACTTACATAATTTCAAATAGTAGAAAATATCCAAAAAGTATATTTGCCATCGGAAAGATCGGTATAAAGGTACTTGCAGAGGTAGGTGTTAAAGACGTACTTGAGTATGAACCTGTAAATAAACCATCGATACATAGTCAACAAATATTGCACGAGGCAGAGTACATTATAGACGTGAAGAATTATAGGATAGGGTTTCATAAGTTAGTGACATTTTAGAAAGAGTTGTTGGCCCATCAAAAACCAGAAAATGGTGCAAAAATATCAGAAATGCACATATTTCTGGTGTTTCATTTCCTTCAATTTTCCGAGGGTGCATGTATGCACTCTAGATCCACTTCACTTTCCCTCCTCAATAAAGAAAGGGCTTACACCCGTGCAATGTGCTCTCGAGACTAAAAGCCCTTTACTTAAAAGATACAACAAGCAAATTTTGTGCCCCCCACCCCAGTACTTTAAGGCTTGCTAAGCGAAATACTTCAAAGTTAAGGTTTCTACTTTCTTTATCGAAATTTTAGGGTATTACCAACATCCTGTTAGTTCACTAAACTTTTTAAAAGTTTACTAGAAAAGTTCTAAGTGATTGAAAACCAATGCTGACGTTATTATCGGCGCCATTTTCAAACATGATTCTCTTTTAGCGCGAAGCGTTTTCAGCGAAAAAAGCTCAAAATTTTGAGAAAAATGGAAAGATAGTTATGTTGACTAACTGATTTATACATCTTTGCCCATTTTTCTCT